GGCCCCCACAGTGCAGCATGCGACCGGGTCAACACAGGGCTCCCTCTCTCTCGCATGCATCTGGGCGGGCCCCACACACATGCTCTCCCGTGCAGGCGCATCAGCAGGCGCGGGTAGGCCCAGCAGCAGCAGGCGCGACAGCACGCGGGCAGGCGTAGTCATAGCACACATGGGGCGTAGCAGCACATGGGTGCGTGGGTGTCCGAGCACGTCCTTCCAGACGTCGGATGCTAGCATGGCCCTTTTCCCAATGCTCAAATGCATTTATCATTTTTGGACGAAAGCAATACTAGGGTAAAAGTTGCCCACCAAACAATACTAGAGGTTAGAATAGCAAGGACGCTATTACTTAAATTGACTTGTTAACAACTACTAATTCTTTTAGTCAAATACCGCAGCTCAATTAGCCATGGAAATAAGAAAAATTAGTAAAGGGAAAGAGCTTTCTAGAATAAAAATCTGCCGTGGCTGATCTGTCACCACACAATTGGCAGGAAAGGGATAAGAGGGGAAACCTCATAAGACAGATCACCAGCCCAACGCAACCAAAAACCTCTTCTCTTCTCTCTATCGCTACTCCCAGAGTACCCACTCGTCAAGCCATGGCCACCTCGGTCACCGCCGTGGCCGCCCTAGCCGCTTTCTCGGCACCAAGAAACCTCCCACAGCCGCCGCCCCATTGCCGAATCCCGCCCGTAACGTCGTGTCGTTCTTTCGTCCGGCCGGTCTTGCGCGCACATCACGGTTGGTGTCCGTGGCGGCCAGCTCGCCGCCACGCCACCGGATCTTGCCAACAAGTTGTCCGAGCATCATCAAGCGGCGGCGAGACGTCGCGGATGACCCGGTGAGCGCCGAGTGCGTGGGCGGCGTGGGGCGAGGTGGAGGAGCTCAACACGCCGCCGCCACCCCACGCTGCGCGACGCGAAAGGCGCGTCGACCCGCTCGAGGAGTACTGCAAGGACAACCCCGAGACCGACGTGTGCCGCACGTACGAGGACTGAACCGCGCGAGGCTGGATTCCGCCATCGCTTTCGCTTGATCTAGCTAGCTTTGGCATGATGGCAAAGGCGACAAGTAGACATGCAGTGGATGATGGACCGGCTCCTTCGTCACCTTTGGTGTTTGAGTTTGGTTTCTTCCTTTTTTTATTAGTCTTGGCTTGGTGTGGAATAAAGCGAGGTTTGTTGTTTACTAGAAACATTTAGGAGCTCCTACTGTAATTCCAAGGCAGTATGTAATCCTTAGAAATTTATTTGATGGTGTGCTTCTGGTACTTGATGATTATACTACGTGCAATTCTGTAAATTATCGCCGATTTAACGTCTTAGTCCAATATATGTGTCAATAGTATTGTTTGTCAGAAGTTGTATTGAGAAATTTCAGACTGGACAAAGTATTTGGGATGGAATTGTTTACTCTTATCTAGGTAAAAATATTCTCCGACACACCTAAATGCCATGTTCGTTTGGCTGATAAGCTATGACTGAAACTACTGTTGGCTAATTTGTTGTGAGAGAAAAATATCATTCGTTGGCTGAAAAAGTACGGCTTATAAGCCAAATAAACATGGCGGAATTCTTTTGCTTTGCTTTATTTCTTCTTTCTAAATAAAATATGCACCGCCATTGCTTTCGCTTGATCTAGCTAGCTTTGGCACGATGGCAAAGGCGACAAGTAGACATGCAGTGGATGATGGACCGGCTCCTTCGTCACCTTTGGTGTTTGAGTTTGGTTTCTTCCTTTTTTATTAGTCTTGGCTTGGTGTGGAATAAAGCGAGGTTTGTTGTTTACTAGAAACATTTAGGAGCTCCTACTGTAATTCCAAGGTACAATGTAAGCCTGTTCGCTTGGTCGTAAACGATCGTGAATTATAAGCCAGAACAGTATTTTTCTCTCACACCAAACCAGCCAGTAGTAATAGTCCACGATCGTTTCAGCTGAAACGAATAGGCTGGTAATCCTTAGAAATTTATTTGATGGTGTGCTTCTGGTACTTGATGATTATACTACGTGCAATTCTGTAAATTATCACCGATTTAACGTCTTAGTCCAATATATGTGTCAATAGTACTGCGTGTCAGAAGTTGTATTGAAAAATTTCAGACTGGACAAAGTATTTGGGATGGAATTGTTTACTCTGTATATAGGTAAAAATATTCTCCGACACACCTAAATGCCCTGTTCATTTGGCTGATAAGCTATAGCTGAAAATATTATTGACTGATTTGTTGTGAGAGAAAAATATTGTTCGTTGACCGAAAAAGTACGGTTTATAAGTCAAATGAACAGGGCGAAATTCTTTTGCTTTGATTTATTTCTTCTTTCTAAATAAAATATGCATGAAAGGGAATAAAAGTAAAATTCATGTGAAATTCTGCTCTTCCACGCCCCAATTTTAATTACTACTGACTTATGATAGATTTACACTGGTCTTTACTTTTACTAGACCTATAAGGTGACTACTTTGGTATAATTTCTAAGTAGAATTGATATAACAAAAAATTCGAGCGTGGGGAAGGAATATTCAACCCGATTTTTACAGCACATTTAATCTAGGTGTAGAATTTCTCTAAATCATCCGATTTTTTTTCTTATAAACTGCTCACAAAAATTGAGTGTAAGAGGGACGTTTTCACCTGAGCATGATATAGCAAATCTGATTTGGTATCACATGGCAGCATCATATCAGTTATTTGTGTCTGAACCAAAGATACAGGAGTAAGGTGACAGGGGAAAAAGGGGGAAAATACAACTCATGCTTGGGTCTGAGCCCAAAGCACCATTTATTTCGTTCGATTATTTGTATTGATGTTTGGACTTAGAGAATACGCTGCTAATTAGGATTGAGAAGAGCTCATTTCCCAGAAACCAATTTCCAGCTCGAGTACCCGGATGAAGGCCTCTTCAACACTCTTGACAGCATCAGCTGGTGCATTAGCCAAGCAGCGATCCACGATGCTCCGCAGAGACTGGCAGTACTGTCTGAACCCAACGCTGCCCCATCTCTGGCAGGTCCCCAGGAGCTCCGGTGGAGTCTTATTACCATCTTGTATACAGAAACCAAAGCTGTCCTGGTATACCGTTTCAATTATCCAGAAGGTAGTTACAGCAACAACATAGCTAACCTCTGGCTCAGTAAAGCTCTGGAGAAACCTGAAGACATCACGACAACAAGGTTAATGCCGGTTATAGATCTCCAGTCATGCTATTGTGTGGGAATTCTACAAATGTTTGAACGAGATGAGCCTGTGGTACTCTAAATTGGCTTTTAAGGGAGAAACACTTGCTAGATCGACGCCCCATCTGGTAGCTTCATTCTTGAACCAAGAGATCTCATCGCTAATAGAAGCTACTCCACCCAGGATAAGTTCCATGTCCGAGCTGTCTTCTTGCTTGCAGCATTTGAGCAATACACTTGCTATAAATGCAACAAATTCCCTTACAAACAGATAGTCCTGGCTCTGAATATGGCAAAGAAACAAGTCTATTTATTTTTTCCACTCATGGTACTCATAACAAAAATGAAATTTATTTAAGAAAATCACATAAAGAAAATTAACCAACACAAATTGATCACTATATAGACAACTGTAAGATCCCCTACTGCTGTACTACAAGATATCATAATTTAACTTATAATTATCAACCACCAAAATTCTTTCAACTAGAAAAAGAACCCAAGATCATATAGAGTAACTCTTTTTTTATTAGTTTTATTTATTTTCTTGCAGAATACTATGCTCAACTAGGAGTTGAGTTAATTTTTTGCACAGTTCCCTGAACATATCCTTCATCACTTTACACTATCACAATTGGACAGTGCCAACTAAGAGCCGATTCCGGCGTTACTTTTGTAAACCGGAAGAAACAACAGAATGACGACATTCAGAGTGACTAGTCCTTTGGAAACGCAAGATCTTCACACTCACAGTATATACCTATAAAGATTGTCAACCAGAAGAAACAACAGAATGACGACATTCAGAGTGACTAGTCCTTTGGAAACACAAGATCTTCACACTCACAGTATATATATCTATAAAGATTTTTTGCCTTCATGCTTTCAGGTTCCATTTCAAATTCACAGTTCTTCCAAAACCACCTCTGACAAAATCACGCAACTGATCACTCAATTCTATAGCCGTCCACACTAATTTTCGCTATCTTAGTAGCAACTCCAAGACTTCTTGGTTGTATTTAACTTGATGTCCAGAGCTCGATGCCCCGACCCCACGAGCCAAGAATCATTAAAGGTCAAAGCTTAGCTCACGTCAATTTCCTCGCAGTTGAAGGCGTTACACAACGAGAGCTTCACTGCATCAGTTGATGGGGGAAATAGAGGGACTGAGACTGACCAGCCAGCGCTTGAAGGCAGACATGTCGACGGTACCTTCGCGGATGGAGACGGTGAACGGGTGCCGGGTGGCCCGCTCGTACATCTGCTGGTGCTTCTCCATCCACGCCACCGTCGTGCCCGTATCGACCCGCCGCCGTCCATCGCCGCCGTGTGGGACTGCGATTTCTGAACCGGGGCTCTCAAGGTTTGACCAATGAGGCGATGACCACAGGCAAAATTGCCGCCAAGCCCTTCGAGATATCCTCACTTTACGTTGCAGTCCTCTAAGGCTTCAACAACATTAATTTTCATCTAAACAAACATTATAATCGAGTGATTCGCTGGATTTGCAGTTCAAACACACGCCGCAATAATCCCACTGATCATTGGGGCCACTTCAATCATGTCCCACATGTCAGCTAACATTACAATAACGCCGTGCTTTGGAAGGCAACGCGGATCAGGAGTCACGTTCTAACACGCGGCGGCAGCGAAGAGAACGCTGCGACCATTCCTCTTCTCTTTCCTTGCCTGTCTCTCTCTTATATTCCTCCCTCGCTTCCGGCCTTCCCCTGTTCCTCCGGTCGTCGCGAGGGAGCGGGAGGTTGGTCCCTAGGCAGGGTTAGATCCTCGCGGCGCTCGATCCTGACGGTGGCAGGCGAAGATGTTGGACATACAGAAGCGGCGCGTGCGGCTGCTGCTCCTCATCACGGGCGTCCTTGCGCTCAGCATGACCGGTTAGTTTTCCGGTCGCGAATCAGGATCTTTTCCTTCCTGTGCAATTTCACGTGTTAGTTTCCGACGGAGATCTGTGGGCACTGTTTTCTTCGTCTAATACTCTAATTGCTGGGGGAGTGGCTGTTTTCTTTATGCAGAAACGCGAATTTGCTTGATTTTTGTTGTGGGTAGTGATGCATTTAGGCTAGTCAGTCGGTAATTGGTTCCTAGGGATAATTTCTTCTGTCAGAATTTGCCTGGTTTAGATTGATGTTGATGGTGGAATTTAAATTCCCTTTTGCTAAGTTTTTCGCTGCCATTCTTGTGAAGTTGTGATTGTGGGGTTGCGATCTTTCAAAGAACTTCTGTGTAGAGTTATTCAGGAAGTCATAAATTTGTCAGAAAGATCTGATTATGTTCGCTCATAATACATTTTGCTGCAATTCAGCAGAAATACATCAATTCGGAAGCTAAGTACAAATGTCAGCAGCTCAGTACGGGTTTGAATATTTGTTAGCATTGGCTAGTGTGCGCTAATAGGATGGCAAACACAAGATACCAGCCTAGCAATATAAGCAATTAGTCACCGCATCCAGGAAGTAACATCTAGGAAGTAGCAATACAAGCAATTACTCAAAAGGCCTCAGTATGATGATATATGCAAGTTACAGAATTTTCTTTAGCTAACGAGTGCCTAGCCGAGTTGGTTTGGTGGCTCTAATAGCACTCCTCAGGTCCTAGGTTTGACTCCCCGTGGTAGTGAATGCTAGGATTATGGTTAAATAAGTCCCCTAGTTTGTCCCACGCCAAAGCACAGGTCGACCAACCTGGGTTCTCACATGTGCAACGGTGCCGCTATGTATGGGTAGGGAAGGGGTTCGGATATTTTCTCGACCTGCGTGAGAATGTTAACTTCTATCTTAAGCAGAATGCCCGGGGGCTGTCTTACCCCCGCGGATCGATTTTTTTTACATGATTTTCTTTAGTGATGTTCCATCCTGTGCAAGTGCACAGCTTCAAATGCTTTTGTCATAGGCTAAGAACCACTTGGGAAAATAGCCGTGCTCAGGTTTTGGGCTTCTCTGGAGACTAGATGAAGTTATTTCCAGCCACAACAAAAGTTCTGAGGACCATTTCATTGCTGACTTCAGTTGCTCCAAATGGCAAATTTAATAGATGGATTTGAGACCTCGGGACTACAGCAAATCTGAGACATACCACCTCCATAAGTTTATAGCAACAGATGATATAATTTTTATATGTCTAATTACAAGGATAAAAATAAAATCAGAAAACAACAAGAACTATGGAAGTGCAGAAGTTGTAGGCTGTAGCTATAGGAGAAAGTATGAAACAGCCCACTATCTCTGCTTTTGATTCAGAGAAGTTAGAGCTTCTGAGTTCCATATCCTACAAGACTAGGGCCAATTGCCACCTGTTCAAATAGGGTTTCCATAGTGAACAGAAATAACTAGGTAGCTTATAAGTTCTGTAGAAAACCAATGAGCTTTCAGTTTTACAAGTTTTCCTGATATCAGCTTCTTACTGAGCGTTGTGCACTTTACGTTGACTAGCCTTAAGTAATGGATTCACAAGAAGACATTTCGTATGCATATGCCAAACAACACAACCAGAAGTCTTAGTATTGGCGGTAGCATAGGTACACTTCACTGAAGAACTAGGAGTGAGTGACAATGCATTGTGTTTCAACTGAGTCAGTAATGGCTGATAATTCGCTTGATTGCAAATTCTGTTTTTTTTTTCTCGATCACGCAAAAGGTTTGCGCGTCTTTGTATTATTAAGATAGAAATAGTTTGATTACAAGGCCGGGCATTGCATGATTTGCAATAGAGCTTCAGCCTGCCTTGGGCATAGACTCACTAGTGTACTACTCTGGCTAATATGCAACCTAGTCCCCTAGCGCCTGCTTGGACCCAAAGATCCGCTTCACGCTGAATTGCAGCAAGCAGCTGAGGCACTTGCAAATTCTGTTGGATATGACGAGTGGTTAATTGCACAAGTTTACCAATTTGCTTTGTGTGATCTCAAGTTTCTTCATACTACTGACCCAGCGGGTTTATTTAAAGGGGTACCCTATTTAAAGACGACTCTTGCTTAGTAGCCACAGTTCCCTGTTTTCATAGCCACAGTTGAATATGACAGATTGGTAATTCAATATCGAAAGCCATTATTGCATTGATATTGGTTCCTTTTTCAATCTCCAAATTGTGATATTGGTTCCTTTTTCAATCTCCAAATTAACTGCTTCTAGATATTGGTTCCTTAGAATGACCCCCATTTGCTTCTACTTTACAGCTGAGAAGTTCAGGGAACTTGTTGGAAAGGAGGCTGCATCAAAGAGTGGTCAATTCACATTCATGAACTGCTTTGACATGGGCTCTGGCAGCCTTGCGTGCACAGCAAAGGAGGGTGTCAAGTTGTACGTCAACAACATCCGAAGTGCACACTTGGAAATGGTGCGGCAGCGAGCCATGGAGAAAGCTTTAGCCGATGCTGTGACAAAAGGACTAACACCTAGTGAAGCAGCCAAACAAGCTCAGAAGATTAGTGCAAAAGCGACAAAAGTTGCTGCTCGTCAAGCCAAAAGGATATTGGGGCCAATAATTTCTTGTGGTTGGGACTTCTTCGAAGCAATGTACTTTGGCGGAAGCATGACAGAAGGTTTTCTCCGGGGCACTGGCACCTTGTTTGGAACTTATGTGGGTGGTTTCCATGGTGAGGAGCGGTTTGGGAAGCTGGGATACCTTGCAGGAAGCCATCTAGGGAGCTGGGGTGGAGGAAGAATTGGATTGATGATTTATGATGTCATAAGCGGCCTGAAATATATGTTTCTGTCTATCCAACCTGAGTATGAATCATCGTCATATGCTTCAGAAGATGGTTCAGAATACACAGAAAGTTATACAAGCCGACCTGAGGAGTCAACATACTATGAAACATCAGAGGAAAAGCAGGAAGAATCAAAATGGTTTGGTTTGTTCTGAAACTGCGAACCGAAGTGTTCTGTCTTATACTCAGGGGCGAAGCTAGGTAGTAGCTAGAGTGTTGCACCCCCTAAAAAATGTGAAAACAGTGGGTTTTCACTAAAATTTCACCATATATGTACCCAAAAAGGCATGTGTACTCCTCACTAATTTGCTCTAGCTTCGTCACAGTTATACCGGAGCACGGAAACAGTTAGCTTGTTTTGTTATACATGTCTGAATGTTTAGCTTCATTTTGTATGGTTACATAGATTAGGTATAACTCCGCCTATGTTGTCTCAACATAGCAGGTCCTAAGCCCTGGTAAAGGAGGAGGGTTGTGATAGGTGTGGCGAGCCAACGTTAAACCTAGCCATTCTAATGGAGATGAAACCCGAAAGAAAACCGTTGGGGCGTAACCCTCTTAGCGACGCGCCATGTCGGAACCTGGGTACGGTGTTAAATGAGCAAGGGCCGGATCGTCACCCCCGTGACGCGCCGTGTCGCGATCTGGGCACGGTGTCAAGTGAGCAAGGATCGGATCGTCGTATCCTTAGTGGCGCGCTACATCGGCGTCCGGGTGTAGTGAAAAATGAGCAAGGGTTTTCACATCTGAGTCGACAGGTGCGAAGGGTAAGAAAGCTAATCGAACCAACTAGGATCCGTTTAAGTAATTGGAATATAGGGTCGCTTACAGGTAAGCTAAGAGAATTAGTTGATACTGCGACTAGGAGCCGTGTAAATATATTATGCGTTCAAGAGACTAAATGGAAGGGTCAGAACTCAGAAGGCGAAGAAGGTGGACAATACAGGTTTCAAGCTTTGGTATACAGGGACAGTCACGAATAGAAATAGAGTAGGAGTTTTGATTGATAAGGGCCTCAAGAATAGTGTGGTGGAAGTGAGAAGGCAAGGAGATAGGATTATCTTAGTCAAGCTTGTCATTGGTGATATGGTCTTGAACGTAATTAGTGTGTATGCCCCCCAAATAGGCCTCGACGAGAGTGCTAAGAGATAGTTCTGGAAAGACTTAGATGGCTTGATTAGAACTGTATCTAGTAGTGAGAAGCTTTTTATAGGAGGAGATCTTAATGGGCATGTAGGTACTACAAGCGCAGGTTTCGAGGCAGTTCATGGAGGTTTTGGGTATGGTAGTAGGAATCAGGAGGGGGAGGAAGTTCTGGACTTTGCAGTAGCTTTTGACCTGATGATAGTCAACACTTTCTTTAGAAAGAGAGAATCTCATCTAGCGACCTTCAGTAGCGGACAACACTCTAGCCAGATTGACTTTGTCCTCGCAAGAAGAAATGACAAACGAGCATGCTTGGGTTGCAAGGTGATACCAGGGGAGTGTGTTGTTTCTCAACATAAGCTTTTGGTGGCAGACTTTCGTTTTTAGGTGCGTGCCCGTAGGGATAAACAAGCTAAGATTGAAAGAACAAAGTGGTGGAAACTGAAAGAGGAGACGTCAGAGGTATTAAGGGAAATGGTTATCAAAGAGGGCTCTTTGAAGGAAGAAGAGGACATAAACAACATGTGGGAGAAGATGGCAACCAATATTTGGAAGATGGCCTTAGAGGTGTGTGGAGTAACCAAAGAAAGTAGAGGCGAGGCTAAAGATACTTGGTGGTGGAACAAGGAAGTCCAAAGGGCTATTAAGGAGAAAAAAGAATGCTATAAACGCTTGTACCATGACAGGAGTGTGGACAATATAGAGAAGTACAAGGTGGCAAAGAAGACTGCAAAGCGAGCTGTAAGTGTGGCAAAGGGTAGAGCGTACGAGGATCTTTACCAACATTTGGGTACGAAGGAAGGAGAGAAGAACATTTATAGAATGGCTAGGGTTCGTGAGAGAAAGACAAGGGACTTCAACCAAGTTAAGTGCATTAAGGATGAAATGGAGCATCTCTTGGTGAAGGAGGATGAGATCCGACATCGATGGCAAGAGTATTTTGACAAATTGTTCAATTGTGAGAATACAGACACAACCTTTCAGTTGAATGACTCTTTTGATGACACCAATAGGCGCTTTGTGCGGAGAATCCAAGAATCTGAGGTCAGAGAGGTGTTAAAAAGGATGAAACGAGGTAAGACGATGGGACCGGATGGTATCTCAATCGAGGTGTAGAGATATCTCGGGGACATAGCTATAGTATGGCTAACCAAGCCGTTCAACCATATTTTTTTATTGAACAAGATGCCTGACGAGTGGAGGAGAAGTATATTGGTACCGATCTATAAGAATAAAGGGGATATTCAAAGTTGTACTAATTACCGGGAAATTAAGTTGATGAGCCATACTATGAAGCTATGGGAGAGAGTTATCGAGCATCGCTTGAGAGCAATAACGCGGGTCTCTATAAATCAATTTGGTTTCATGCCTGGAAGGTCAACCATGGAAGCCATTTTCTTAATAAGACAAGTTATGGAGCGGTATAGAGAGAAGAAGAAAGACCTACACATGGTTTTTATTGACTTGGAGAAGGCTTATGATAAAATATCAAGGAATGTTATGTGGTGGGCTTTGGACAAACATAAAGTCCCAACGAAGTATGTCGGACTCATTAAGGACATGTACAACAATGTTGTGACTAGTGTTCGAACAAGTGATGAAAACACGGATGACTTCCCGATTAGGATATGACTACATCAAGGGTCAGCTTTGAGCCCTTATCTGATGAGGTCACAAGAGACATACAAGGGGACATCCCTTGGTGTATGCTTTTCGCGGACGATGTAATGCTAGTTGATGAAAGCCGGACATGAGTGAATCAGAAACTGGAGTTATGACGGAAGACTTTGGACTCTAAAGGTTTTAGACTCAATAGAACTAAAACTAAGTATATAAGATGTGACTTCGGCACTACTACTCGGAAGGAGAAAGATATTAGTTTAGAAGGTCAAGTAGTGCCTAGGAAGGATACCTTTCGATATTTATGATCAATGCTACAGAGAGACGGGGATATTGATGAAGATGTTAGCCATAGAATCAAAGCAGGATGAATGAAGTGGCGCCAATCATCTGGTGTCCTATGTGACAAAAGGGTACCACAGAAGCTAAAAGACAAGTTTTATAGGACGACGATTAGACCTGCTATGCTGTATGGTGCAGAATGTTGGCCTACGAAAAGACGACATGTTCAACAGATAAGTGTCGCGGAAATGCGTACGTTACGTATGATTTGCGGTTATACAAGAAGGGATCGAGTTCGAAACGATGATACACGTGATGGATTAGGGGTAGCACCAATTGAAGAAAAGCTTGTCCAACACCGGTTGAGATGGTTTGGACATGTCCAACGGAGACCTCCAGAAGCACCGGTGCGTAGTGGAATCCTAAGCCAGGATAGTAACGTGAAAGAGAGGCAGAGAAAGACCGAAGTTGACTTGGGTAGAGGCAATAAAAGGAGACTTGAAATGATGGAATATATCTAAAGACTTAGCCTTAGATAGGAGTGATTGGAAAACAGATATTCACGTGTCTGAACCTTGATTGCTTTTGCTGGGTTTCAACTTTAACCTACCTCAACTTGCTTGTGACTTAAAGGCTTTGTTGTTGTACATAGATTAGGTATGATTCTTCTTTGTAATTCTTGTTTTGTTTTGGCTCGTATATATAAACATATGATTTTAGGGTATGATTCTTTTTGTAATTAGATCGCCCGACGTCGGCTAGCTACTGTGTATATCCGATGCGAGACTCGAACATATGACCAACTCTTTAGGGGCGTTGTACAGAATGCAGCCGCACAAAATACAATTGTTTATTGTTTCAAAGACCGTGGCAATACTGCCTCGGCTCAAGAAAATTTGACTTACGGAAAGTTATAGTCTTATGAGGAGTATCTTCTTGTTAAAAAAATGTTGGGAGACGGTCTCTATGTTTGATTCGTGCTGTCTTCCAGTACTTTTTTGACAACTTGATGCTACGCATACATTTTATCATATGCAACTTGACATATATGGTCAGCTTTTCAATTACTGAAGGCTGTTCTGAAGGGTATGTTAACTGAAGTGCTTGACTTGTGCAACAGAAGTGCAGGCTCCAAGCCGCAAAATGTTGCAAATTTTGCCCCATAAGATGCAATTTGTACCTGATAAACTGATCAAATTTGAAAGACTGCATGTACCGCCCGTATCCTACAGGGAACAGCTTTGTATAGGCTATGCACATGTGACCCTGAGATCTTCACGTCACTGTGAGCATGAACGGACATTGGGATTTGGCAGGACGAGAATAAACCAGGTGGATTACCAACCAATCATTCGGCCGCTGCTCATCCCAGTGCTCGTCACATGTACATCCGCACCAGTAAGGCATCGCACTACCTGGGAGACAAACGGGGGGTGGAGGAGGAAACGACGACCCGGCCCTCTCGCTCGCCCGTTCATCCACAGACCACAGATGACGATGGCTCAGGAGTCAGGACGGAAAGTTTTCCCACCGAGAGAGTGCCAAAGAAAAGTAAAAGGACCTGGATCTTACGAGGGAGAAAGCAAAGCAAACACAAATCATGTGTTCAAATGATAATTGGACCCTTAATAAGCACAAAAAATAGGACAAATTTCACTACGGGTACCTTTTTTGTGGTACTTAAAGCCACCAAGGTTAAATTGACACCATATTGAAATGCAAGATTTACTTCACACGTATGGTAATTTTTTGATGAAGTTTGTGCAAGTCGTGTGCTTTAAACAGTTTTTTTTTGCTGCACAAAAAACAGAAATATCTTCCTGCCTCTCTTCACTGCCGGAACACAACAAAACAGCATCATCAGCAAGTCTAAAAGCTAATCCCCTACGCTATCTGTATATACAAAGACGGAAGCGCGACCCCGAAAAAAAAAATCATGTCCTCCATCTCCATCCTGCACAGATCCTGCCTCCGCCTAGGTCTGCTGCCGTTCTCACCTCTGCGTGCTCGCGCCACCACTCTACGCCTTCCCCTTCCTCAGCCGCGGCGGCATCTCCACCAGCCCCGCTGGAGCGCCATGAGCTCTGCCGCGTCCAGGCTGTCGCACATCGCCGCTGCCACCGGCGACGGGGCAGGCGCGGCCGGGGAGTCGAATGAGTCGCCGCCGGCCGCATCCGCCGCGGCCCAGGAAGACGATGGTACGTCACGCTCGCTCGGAGCGATCGTTGCGTTGAGCTGTTGATCGCAGCGTGGCTTACCTGTGTGTTTTATTGGATTGGTGGGTCGATGGTGGCAAGATTGGATCTCTGGTTGACTTTATGCGCCGTGATTGGTCGATTGGATAGACTAATGCATCTTGCTGGTGAAGATCACGCGCAAGTCGCTTTGTTTATCTTTTTACAACTAACATAAGCTTGTGGTTTATGTTTATTTAAGTTGTGTATGAAACTTAACTTACTTTGCTTGGTCTCTATGCGGAGCGATCACATCTTTAGTTGCCAAGGAAAGGATATGGCTGGTTCTGTTTAAGTTTCTAAACCACAGTCTTAGACTACACTCATATTCAGCTGGCCTTAAGTCTTCTTTTACGGTTCTATCCTGTAGTTGTTTTGTGAACCGAGTAACCTTCTAAGAATAGTGAAACTTATCCTGGGACTGTCTTAACTAATTTTGGACGCTGATGTTTGAGTGATAGAAACAATATTAGCTCTAAGAGCAACTCCAAGAGAGTAGCCATTTGAGTTGTGAAATCCTATTTTAGGTATTTTTGGAAGAATCACGGCTCCAACAGCTATTCTATCATCTTTTGGAGGATGTTCTATTTTAGAGAATGGCTAAACCATGGATTTTAGACTCTTATTTTACCTAATCTCTTGGAGTTGCTCTCAGTGGGGAGTTGAATGAAGCCAGACTTTTGGGTCCGGGCCAGTGTGACAGACAATTGAAGTATTGTGTTGCTCATCATGAGAGCAAATAGTCTACTAGATTTTTTTTTCTTGAATGCGCAGTCGAGCTGCACATCATTGCATTAGAAAGAAGAGTACTTAAAGTACAACACATGCCCAGCCACCAACACCGTCGACTTACACTCATGCCTAATTCCATGCGCGCCGCAAACAAAAACCAAAACGACAAACACTTGTAATCCCCCAACAATTGTCATATCCTGACCCAAAGCTGGACCTCATCTCTAGTGAGCTGCATGACCCACTTGACGCCAGGCGTGATGACGCGATCCCATTAACACAATCATTTCGATGTTTCCAAATTATCCAAGCACAGGAGTGATCAAAGAATCCTGTCCAGTCTCCATGGAGCTTGTCACCATGTTAATCGTCTTGGGCCACCAATCATCAAATTCTATAGTGGGTGGATCACTGGATTATCATGACAAATGTGGGAGGCCAAAATGTATCATCTGCAAGGGACGTTGAGAAGATGCAATCAGCCAAGATGTAGTGGGTCGTCTCACTTTCCTGATCACATAGCAGACAGCGCTCCAAATGTCTCAACTCCTGTAGAGCTAAATGATCTGCTGTACAGAACGGTTATGGACTACTAACCAAAGGAAGAACTGGCATTTATTGGGAGTCCATGATTTCCATATCAATTTCCACGGCTCAAAGGGGATGTCTCCTATGCAGAAATCCACGTAGGTTGACTTTGGGGGCGCTTGGTTACCGGCCGCTACTGGCCACGCCACAGGTGCAGCGACACCGCAGGTGAGGCGCAGAAAATAGCCGCCACAATCTGTGGCGATATTAGTACCCATTTGAACTGCTGATTTTTGTGGTCGCCTACGTTCAATCGTCGACCAAACATCTACCTGAATTTTTGTGGCGCGCCACAACTGTGGCATGGCTTTTGGTGGCTGGGAATCAAACTGCTGTACATTCCCATTAGGATTTCTAATGGTGCTCATCCTGTACACCATGTTGTATCTCCACCTCAGCTGCTACGTCCCATATTTTAAGGTATCGCGACAATGGTATCACCAAGAGATCTCTTTGGATGTCCTGGACCCAGTGACGATCAATCAATGCTTCACTGAAAGTGTGCCTATTTGCTCAGCGCTAAGAAATGAGGGCAAACAGGAGCGCAGAATAGCCTACTCAATTGGCGCTATATATTTCCTGTTGCGAGTCATACATGGTTTCTTTTTTGAATGCTATGTGAACATTATATTTTGTTGCTGGTTGAGCATGTTTTGTCCTGGATTTAATTCCACAACAAACTACAATATAGAAGTGAACAGCTGTTGTATTTGCATACCATACAGGTCTTTCATCTGGGGACATGGGCTACCGCCTTCCTCCAAAAGAAATACAGGATATTGTCGACGCACCACCACTTCCTGTCTTGTCATTCTCTCCAAACAAAGATAAAATTCTGTTCCTAAAGCGTCGAGCACTGCCACCACTATCAGACCTTGCAAAGCCTGAGGAGAAGCTTGCTGGTCTAAGGATTGATGGCAATTCTAATACTAGGAGCCGAATGTAAGTAATGCTTAAAGCTTTGGCCAAATTTTAGGTGTTTTTTTCCTTATTTCCTATCATTCATGACAAGTTTATTGCTACGTTGCATAGCATGTCACTACTGTATATCTGATAGATCTAATTTGTAGGTCTTTCTACACTGGAATAGGTATCCATAAGCTATTGGACGATGGGACTTTGGGCCCAGAGAAAGAGGTGCATGGATACCCAGTAGGTGCAAGGATTAATTTTGTCACCTGGTAATTTTCTATATTTTCAATTAAGTATCTTTTCTGCTATTTCTTTTTCATTTTTTTACTTTGCTTTTCACCATTTCATAAGTAATATTCTGTTACTATTGTGGATTGCATCACGATATTATGCCCTGAACTGGGTGAATAGGTCACAAGACGGCCGCCATATATCCTTCAGTGTTCGAGTTGACGAGGTGATCGGTTGTCTTTAAGACAGACAGCAGACAATTTTTATGTATTTTTAATAATTACTTATAAGAATTCTGATGTTTTTACAATAGGAGGACAGCAAAAGTGGAAAACTGAGAGTGTGGATTGCTGATGTGGAATCTGGAGAAGCAAGGCCACTTTTTAAATCGCCTAAGATATACCTAAATGCTATTTTTGACAGGTGAAGATGAATCTCTATGCACAGTATCTTTTCTAGTTCCTGCTTGTAACTAACATTGTTTCTGCTATTGTTGCAGCTTTGTATGGGTTAACGATTGTACACTGCTAGTCTGCACTATTCCTGCGACACGTGGAGCCCCACCACATAAGCCATCAGTTCCATCTGGCCCAAAAATTCAGTCCAACGAGTCAAAGAATGTAGTCCAAGTGAGAACTTTCCAAGATCTGCTGAAAGACGAGTATGATGCTGAACTATTTGATTACTATGCAACCTCACAGCTTGTGTTAGCCTCTTTGGATGGAACAGTGAAGCCAATTGGCCCTCCAGCTTTATATACATCTGTTGATCCATCACCGGATGATAAATACATAATGCTGTCTTCTATCCACCGCCCATATTCCTACATTGTACCTTGTGGGAGGTTTCCAAAGAAAGTTGAATTGTGGACTGTAGATGGAAAGTTTATTAGAGAACTTTGTGACTTGCCCCTGGCTGAGGACATACCAATTACGATGAGCAGTGTACGCAAGGGAAAGCGCTCAATTAATTGGAGGCCAGACAAACCTTCGACACTGTACTGGTATGTAGAGCACCATTCTAAGCATAACTTACTAAAATTTGCATTGGTATTTTTTCCGTTTATTTAGAGATGAACTCCTTCTGTAACATCATACTGCACCTCAACATAAGCTTACAAAGCGATAATAGAATAATATAGTTCACTTAAGTAGCTGCATGCTAAGGAGCACGGATACGGATACTTGTATCGGTATCGGACGGATACGGATACGCGGATACGCTATTTTTTGAGGAAACCTGATACGTAGATACGTTTTATTATTTTTTATAAAAAATAATAATAAAGGACATTAAAATTATTGGCAGCGTATGTATGGATGCTCTCTGGAGACTACTCCAATCATTTCACAGCTTCTAGTTGCTACTTCTACCTGTGCTGGCAGTTGGAGGGGTATTTTTGGCATATAAATGTACAGCACGTCTTCCCTGCCTGTGCTTAGCTAGGCCCAAGATTAGATTTTTTAATCTTCTTTCTCTCCCCAACATTCTTCCCCACACGGTGCCCCTTCAATCAGCCGTCTGCGCGACTGCGCTCCTGCTGGCCTGCTCCTCACAGCTCCTCCTCCACCGGTGCCATGCCTTCCTCCTCCCACGCCGGTGACCGAGGTCCCTCTGGGCGCAGGCGGCCGAGTGACCATGGCTGCGCCCCACTCCACCCCAAGCGCGGATGCAGCACGCGGACGTCGCCAGCACAGAACTCGCCCAGTGCGGGGTGCGGCACGGCATGTGGTCGCCGGGCAGCCCACTCGGCGCAGATGCAGCACGGACCTCGCCAGCGTGGGTGCGGCGTGGCGCGTGGCTGGCGGTAGCCCACCTAGTGCGTGTGGGATAGGCCATAGTATATCGCAGGTCAGTGCTGGGTGGGCTAGGCCGTATCGCAAACGCCCAAACAGCTTGGATACGTATCAGTCCACATATCAGAATTTAGTTTTTTTTTTGCCCATACTTCACGGATACGTATCCGCCGCGTATCCGTATCGGATACGTATCCGATATGGGATACGTGGCCAACCTCACGTATCCGTACACGTAGGCTGCATGGAAATAGAAAGACTTAAAGCCATCCATGGTAGTTAAAATCTCAATTTTAATGCTAGAAGTGTAAAACCCTACAGGAACAGTGTAATAGGGGTAGAATGACAATCCTATTTGTTATGGTCTCAACTTCGATGATTTGAACTAAAATTTGTTAGCGCCCATCCATTCAAACTATCCTCATGGTTTACCTTCCAAATGTCACAAGCGACCCAGAAACAAAACATCAATACCAATGCTATATTTTTTCCATAAAAGATCTCTTCCATGTCCAAAATATGGGTAGGTGCCTATATTCGTAGCAGATTATTTTTTTCTGTGGAAACAAAATATGTGGTTGTTAAAAATTGGTAGAATCTACCATCTATGACTTTGAGATTGACTACCTTAAAGAAAATTGGTTTAATGGAACAGTTTGTGTTCTTTTGTTGGTTCCACGAAGCCTGACCTGACCTTCCATCAAAAATAGTGTGTCAGGTGTCACTAAGCAAAAAAATAAATAATTCCAAATAGTAAGTTCTATAGTAGTATAGTTTCAAACAGTAGCATCTGCATTCTGCAGTGGTATAGTTGCATTTTCATAGCCCTCCATGGGACACTCCTTGATTGAAACTTGGGCACTCCTCTTCAGGGGTCTGAACCACTGGTTGAAAGTGAAACATGACGGTCGTTTGCCTATCAGCATATGAGATAAAAATGTTTGCTTTCATGGTAATCATAACTTTTCTTTTGCCCTTTTTGCTTATTTTCTGACTATATTTGATAAGCATCCGTATATTTTCTTTTGCTTTAATAAACCAGTTTCACTTAAAACTTAATTCTGATAAATATGACTTTATGCAAATGCATGTTTTTCTTTTTGCGAAGGGCGGGCCTGGTGCAAGTGGTAGAGTCTTACCGCCTGTGACCGGAAGGTCCCGGGTTCGAGTCGCGGTCTCCTCGCATTGCACACCCTTCCCCAGACCCCGCACAGAGCGGGAGCTCTCTGCACTGGGTACGCCCATGTTTTTCTTTTTGCAACATTCCAATTGTACTGCCATATCCTATGTAGAATATTAGTCCCTCCAATTTCAAATTTAGATCGTTTGTAGATTTGTCCTGAGTCAACATATTTAGCTTTGACCACCAATAGCTAAAAATCTAAATAGATTTACAACATAAGGTCGATACCTGTGTTTTTGAGAATGTCTCACCAAACATTCAGGGTCTCTTGAAAACAGTGGCTGATGAATGTAGTCTTTGGTGCATGGCGGGTGCCTCTAATCTTCAGGAGCTTCTCATTAGGTTGCCCTCCCCAGACCTATATAGGCTGTGGTTGGTAGGCTGCTACCCCTTGGCCATGTTTTCTGTTTACCCTCACCCCTGTACCTCTTTTTCTCTCTTAATGAAATGGCACGCAGCTCTCCTGCACTGTTTGAGAGGGGAAAAAAAGGTTGATGCTACTAGATTCATCATGACAATGCACAGTACCTCAAGTCATGGTTCTGGGTGTCTGATATAAAAGGAGCACTGACTGTTCCTGTCCTAAGAGAGTATCTATATATTTGGGAGTTGGTTGATGATCGAACCCTGCAACCGGGAATAATGGACCAGCACTGTTGGAATCTTACATATTCTGGAATATACGGCAGTAAATCTGCATATAATGGCTTTTTTCCCTGGAAGGATTCTCTTCGCGCCTTGGAAGAGGATCGGAAAACTGGGTTTGTGCTCGGCAGGTTTGGAGTGAGGTCCTTCAGAAGCTGGGGCTGATCCTCCTTGCGCCTCTGACCATCACCAACCGTTTCTCAAATTGGTGGTATCAGGCAATCAAGAACTTGCCTAGGGAAATCAGGAAAGGACTAAACTCACTCATTCTAGTGGCATGATAAATATGGAGACACCAAAATGACTTTTTAATGGGGCAAGGCCAGATGTCAGGACAACCTTAGAGGCAGTTGCTGATGAGTGTCTTCTGGTGCTCAGCCCGTGTGAAAGATCTTCAAGAACTTTGGTCAGGGCACTTAATGTGGCCATGTGATTATTAGTCCTGGGGTCACTGGTTGCCTTTTTGTGTTTTTTGGTGCAGTTTCTTCCTTGTTCTTGTGTGTGATTGGATGTGTTTTTGTGTAGTGTGTGTTTGGGTGTGCCTTTTGGGTGGGAGAGTTTCTTTTCCACCCTTGTGCTTTGGTTTTCCTTCATCTCTTGTTAATGAAATGATACACATATCTCCCGCGTGTTCGAGAAATCATGACAAGTAATTTCATAATATATAAGTATCTCTATGAGATATTATATTGTCATAGAAATTACTAGTCATTGTATCAGTGGAGGTACATTTTTATTGCAACCTTCTTGTATCTCCCAGTGGAGGTAAGTGTTGCCTTTCCAGGATCCCCCTTTATTTATCTTTTAATATAAGGGTGCTCACCTCTCTTGCATGTTCGAGTGAAAAAAATTGCTAGTCAAAGTTTAGTCTTGTAGACCGTGTCAATGTCCTAACTCCTAAATGACTTACATTCAGAATTAGTGAGAGTTTTATTTTGTTTTGTAGTTTTCAGTGCTACTAACATATTTACCAAAAATGCCATCCTTTGAAATCAATATAAAATTACTAATCGTCGGCCCAGTATAACTAAGCATACTCATTTTAGAATTGCATTGACATTTGATTTTTCTATTTTAATTTGATTAGAGATGCTCAAAGTCTTGATACTGCCTTGATGAAGTGTGATACTGGTTACAGTTCATTCAAGTCTTGTTAATTATCAGATGTCTTATACATAAACCATGTTATTAAGCTATGTATATCTTTAGATGCTCTAGGATATTTATGATGAACATTTCCTTGAGAATTAAGTATAACTTTCACTTATCAAAGGCTGCTATATGAGTGTTTCCATGAGCTACTCCTTTGTTCTAGCTCATTTTTACTTTATCCTTCTTCTGATCAGGGTGGAGACACAAGATGGTGGAGATGCAAAAGTAGAAGTCTCCCCTCGTGACATAGTTTACATGGAAAATGCCGAGCCTATAAATGGTGAACACCCAGAGATTCTGCATAAACTTGACCTTCGATATGCGTATGTCCTTCAAACTATCCATTAGCTACTTTAGATGGATCATTGAGCTTTTCTTCGCTGCAGTTGCTACAATATTTCTAGCATAAAACTCAAATGAATAAGAATAACAATAAAGTTTTCATTCTAAAAATAACAATAAGTAAAAAGGTCCAGTACTTCAAGTTGCTCGTGTCTCTGGTGCCTGGATGTAAACAAGATTGCGTGTTCTTTACACTGTCCATTTGCTACACATAGTAAAAAACTAACTCTTCTAATCTTCTTGTCCTCTGGATTTTCATTTTGTCGGAACAGTGGCACCTCCTGGTGTGATGAATCTCTTGCTTTAGTGTATGAATCTTGGTTTAAAACTCGGAAAATCAGAACATGGGTGCTTTCTCCTGATAAAAAAGATGTCAGCCCACGCATTTTATTTGACCGATCTTCAGAAGATGTATACTCTGACCCTGGCTCACCAATGTTTCGAAGAACTGCTATGGGAACATATGTCATTGCAAAGATCAAGAAAGAAGACGGAAATACTTGTGTCTTGTTGAATGGGATGGGTGCCACACCAGAAGGAAATGTTCCATTCCTCGATTTGTTTGATATGTATGTTTAGACCCACTAATCAATGTTCTGTATTTTACCAGAATATAACAGTACCAATATATGCCATGTGTCAATTGATGCAATTGCTTGTTCCTCCCTTTTGTTTTGCAGAAATACTGGGAGTAAAGAACGGATATGGGAGAGCGACAGGGAAAAGTACTATGAAACTGTTGTTGCACTGATGTCAGACAAAACTGATGGGGAACTGTCCCTTGATCAGTTAAAGATACTTACGTCGAAAGAATCAAAAACAGAAAACACACAATATTACTTGCAGACTTGGCCAGAAAAGAATCAAGTTAAGATCACAAATTTCCCCCACCCATATCCTCAGCTTGCTTCCTTGTATAAGGAAATGATAAGATACCAGCGGAAGGATGGAGTTCAACTTACAGCAAACTTATACCTGCCCCCAGGGTATGATCCATCAAAAGATGGACCTTTGCCATGTCTAGTTTGGTCCTACCCTGGTGAATTTAAAAGCAAAGATGCTGCTGGTCAAGTTCGTGGTTCCCCTAATGAATTTCCAGGGATTGGTGCTACATCTCCTCTTCTTTGGTTAGCTAGAGGGTATTTTTCTCTTCTTGTTATTCATTAATAATAGAATATGCATACAATATATGTTCCCATTTTTGTTATTCAAATTGTAGAATAACCCTCTGCACACCTTTAACCTTTTAATAAAAAAATTTGAAGGGACTTTTTGTAATCCATCTCTTGCAAATATGTTTTTCTGGTACATGCACACACACTGAATGCTATGATTTGCAGGTTTGCTATTCTGTCTGGTCCAACAATCCCAATTATTGGTGAAGGTGATGAAGAGGCCAATGACAGGTATATTTGCTACTTATGATCTATTCCATATCCTTCTGCAGGACTAAATAATTTTGAACTATGCTATTACACCATAGTATATTTATTATTTCAGTATTACAAACTATATTGCAGATATGTGGAACAACTAGTAGCAAGTGCAGAGGCTGCAGTTGAGGAAGTTGTCAAAAGAGGGGTAAGCCTTTGCTCCTATTCATTCACACAAATATGTTTACAAAATGAGTTCTTTGCAATGGCAGCCACTTTTATGAGTGTTTTTTATGGTGCACTTTGTAAAGTTCATTCATAGGTGGAGCCTTCAATTTTGCAAATATACTTAAAACATTCTTCTATCTTGAGCAATACCTTCTGAGAGTTGACATGATCCCTGTTCTTGTATTTCTTTAGGTGGCTCACCCTGATAAAATTGCTGTTGGTGGTCATTCGTATGGTGCATTCATGACAGCTAATCTGCTGGCTCACGCTCCTCATCTTTTCTGCTGCGGAATTGCTCGCTCTGGAGCTTACAACAGGACTCTAACTCCGTTTGGTTTTCAGGTACAGACATGCTGTGTCTATATGCATGGAATAGATTTTGAGTCTTTAGTAACAATCTGATTTTTCTACAGAACGAGGATAGAACACTCTGGGAGGCAACAAGTACATATGTCGAGATGAGCCCTTTCATGTCTGCAAACAAAATCAAGAAACCAATTTTACTTATCCATGGAGAGCAGGACAACAATCCTGGGACACTGACAATGCAGGTCAAGTCTTATGCTACAAGCCTGCTCACAGCCTATGAAATATATCTCTCTCTCTGGAAAAGTGTTAGAACTTTGTTGCTACTTCCTACCATGTTTGAAGGTTTTCCAAGCATTTTTTTATCATATTCAAATTTGACTTGTGTATAGTTGATCTTAGCAAACAGCAACAAGAGTAATATTCCATACTCAAGTAGTGCAAGTGACCCAAACTTCTGCAGTGATAGATGTAGACTCGTATTATAAAGTATAATCACATATGCTACCAAGGACTACAATTTTAGTTGTTGTACCAGGATACCAGTTTTGGTTTCACCCTTCCTAGACCCCGCACAGAGCGGGAGCTCTTTGCACTGGGTACGCCCTTTTTTTTACCAGGATACCAGTTTTCATTTTGCGTATGTGATATTAGACCTGCTTGATTTGGAGTGTCTTTACCCAGTGGATTAAAATGACTTGTTGCTTCTGGTTGTTTTATACAAATCGTCATTGTTTTCTGTGGAAATATCCTCTATGTTCTCATGATTTGATTTTATGCTTTTTTTTACTGGTTAGTGACTTTTAGTAATCTGTGTTATTGATCTCATGGTTTGTCCTTTTTCTTTTTGCAGTCAGACCGATTCTTCAATGCCTTGAAAGGTCATGGTGCGCTATCTCGTTTGGTCATACTTCCTTTTGAGAGCCATGGGTACTCTGCTAGGGAGAGTATTATGCACGTCCTCTGGGAGACCGATAGGTGGCTGCAGAACTACTGTGTAAACGGTACTAGCAATGTTGACTCAGTGTCAGAGGCTGACAGTGAAAACAAAACATTGTCAGCTAGCGGTGGCAGTGCAGCCCGTGAAGGTCTAAACCCTGAGGGACTCTCATCATTACCACGATCGCTTCTGTGGTAAGATTTTTCCTTGCTTGCTGCTTCTCATGAAGAAAAAAGATACACTTGTTTGTCTGTTGGGTTAATTGGCGCTCCTGAGGATTGTCTTACATAGGATTTATGATACCTGCTTTGAAGCTCATTGTACAGACTATAAAATAAATTTCTCATCCGCTTAATTATCTTATATCAAAGTTTCCACACAGAGCAGGCTGCTAACAATTTTGTCTTAAATTTCTTACTGTGCAAATGCATGTAATCGTGTAAACAAACTTTTGTTGTGATGCATTTTAAAAATTAAGCATGTCAATACTAAATGATAATAAAAGAAATGGTTTCAGTTTCAGCAACTTGTTAGTTTTATTTTGTGCAGCTTATAGAGGAGTGTTTAATGGTTGAATTGTGCATCCATCTGCATGAACTTGTATACTTTTCTCAATATGTATATGCATCCTTCATAAAAAATATGATAACACCTTGATTTCGTACAGATCAACTTTCTTCAGTTGGTGTTCGTGAAACATTATCTGGACAACTGACAGCAAGCCTAAAGGGAAAAATAAAGTGTATCGTTGCACTTGTGCCAGAACTGGTGCTCCTTACCGTCTACCAGGGATGGCTTGATTGGCATCATATTTGTTTGGATTTCTGCAAGTGATCATGTTACTGACATGTAGGAGCCTCCTCCTCACAACCACCAAAAAAAAAAAAGGTATAGGCAAATGAAACTGTAATTCTTGCGATTAATAACTTGTACTGGAATGTAGCCTTTTGCAGTTTTGATCCCATCTCTTGCACTTGGTGGCGAACTGATATATTGCTATTCTTGGACAGCAAACAAAAATAAATTAATAAATAATGGAACTCTGCTGATCATGTACTCCGATGTCTTGATGCTTTACTGGATCTTCTACCAGGCTTTACTGCAGCTGTTGTACTGACATTCATTGCCCATTTGAGAGGCGCGGGACAGAGCAGCCAAACTCATGGAGGAGCGAGAGGATAGAGTAAAAAAAACTCGGCCTGCGGTGGGCAGACAGCCTCCGCAGTTTTTTGCGCTAGTAAGAACTCTCACGCAGCTGAGAAAACTCTTGAACCCCATGTCCCGCCCTCACACAGGGCCCGTAACCCTGTGAGTGGGCCGGAACCTTCTTACATGTGCTTTGGGCCTGTGCTTTGGGACGCGGGACAGGCGAGGATTTTTTTTCTGCACAAATTGCGCATTACTGTAGCTGTGCGCGCGGCAGCCGGGAGTCGAACTCCCGACCGGGACCTTCCCACGACGGGGACGGAACCACTCGAGCTAACGCTCGCTCGCCGAGAGGATAAGAGTAACAAGGATAAGAGTAACAATGGAGTTCGCAATGATGTGTATCACTAGGCATTTCTTAGTTCCTTTAGCAACAAAATTGGGAGATGACTTGATTTGCTCAGTGGGGCATCACTGGGGGCAAAAAAATCAGTGTAATTACACTGGCGCACATTGCAGCACTTTCCAGTTGCTATCAAAGCACATCATATTGCCTGTATCTTCTCGAAATATACAGGACAGAACCGATACGCCTGAAGCGCCGGTGCTTGTGTATGACCTCCTGGTCTCCTGTACGAGTCACGCCGTATGATTGTGTTTGTTAGCTTGCTAGGCTCAGTGACAGTCAGCGTAAGCCAGCTGCTTGCTCGCATTGGTCGGTAGAACATTTGGAAATGGAGGTGCTTAGAGAAGGTGTTTAGTGAGAACTTTTTATCATCTGCCATTAGCACCTAGCATCTGATGCTTTTCTCAATAAGGAGATTATTAAAATTGAAGTCACCTGCATCGAGTGTTCGAGTTGATACAACCCTCTCGATAGCACTCAAGATCTCTGCATATTACGATACACACAACCTACAAACTTTAAAGAGTAAAAGGTTAATGTGTCCCCTGAACTAGTTGAATTTGAAACTCTTTGAACTTTAGTACCGGATAACATACACATTTTAACTTTTAAAACCAAACAAAATACCCCATTGACCATTTCAAAATGGTTTTTGCTGATGTGGCAGTGGGTCCCACCTGTCATTTGGTCTCTCTCTCTCTCTCTCTCTCTCTCTCTCTCTCTTATATAAAAATGCATAACTTTTCATATGAAGTAGTGTGAATACAGATTTTATATCAAAGTTGTAGAGCGCGACACGATCTATGACTTTATAATTGATAACTTTTTTATTTAATATATTTTAGATGCTTAAATATAAGTTTTAAGTTACTAGACTTTAAAATTCAATTTTTTTGATTTTTTTTCAAATGGCGTCGAATGTTGACGTAGTTTATACCTTGTAGTCCACAACTTTTAAAATCTGAGATTGTTTAGAGACCCAAATTTTCTTTTTATGTTTTTCTAATTTTGAAATTTATTCTTTTGAATTTTTCAAATTACCTATTTAATAAAAAGCATAATTTTGAATTTTTGACATTAAAAAATATTATCAACCACAAAGTTACATATTGATAACTTCAACTTTGATGTAGACCACGTCAACATTAGAGAGAAAGAGAAATGAAATTGGTTTGCTCTTCCTTTTTCTTATTGGGATTGAGGGAGGAGTTTTCTTAATTAATTGTTTTTTAAAAAAACTTGTTTTTTGTTTTAATTTTTTTTAATCACTCGTTATTAAGAAAAGAAGATTATTTATTCTCAGGTGGAGATGCTCAGTTGCCTGACCAGGTCATGGTGTGGACGTGGCAAGCCCACTTTGGGAAGGGACCAAAAACAGGGCTACCACTTTCAGGGCGTGACGTGGACGTGTTGAAGATCCGGAACATTCGCCGTGAAATGTAAACATCATCATCATAATAATAACGAGGCATGAAACTGGCCTTGGCCGTGGACACGTGAAGCGCGCCATGCGTTCGACATGCATGTAATCGGATGGCTCGCAGTCCTCCTCAGGTACTACTAATAATATAATAATAATAAACTACTGGAGTACTTCACAGCCACATACGTCCACGTTTCATCAAAAACAAAACACATGCACGTCAACTGGAGCTGCCATCGGTTTACACGCCGCATCTCTGAAGGCCGGATCAGTGACAGTGAGGCACTGATGAACGAACTGCCGTGACATTCTATATATACCCTCGGTCCCTGTTCCAATTCTCATCAAGCAGCACGAGTTGTCGAACACTTGCCTGCTCTTGAGCTCAAAGACATCATCGGCTGCTTCTCGTGCTCTCCTCAGCTTCCCAACTGCAACTGTAGCAGCGAAACTCTACCAACTGCCATGGATGCCCAGAACGTGGAGGTTGCTGCCCTGGTGCAGAAGATCGCGGCCCTCCACGCCGACATCGCCAAGCTGCCGTCGCTGAGCCCGTCCCCCGTCGTCGACGCGCTGTTCACCAACCTCGTCATGGCCTGCGTCCCGCCGAGCCCCGTCGACGTGACCAAGCTCGGCCCGGACGCGCAGAGGGTGCGAGAGGAACTCATCCGCCTCTGCTCCGACGCCGAGGGCCACCTTGAGGCGCACTACGCCGACATGCTCGCCGCCTTCGACAACCCGCTCGACCACCTCGGCCGCTTCCCTTACTTCAGCAACTACATCAACCTGAGCAAGCTCGAGTACGACCTCCTGATCCGCTATGTCCCGGCCTGGCGCCTTCCCGCATCGCCTTCGTCGGGTCAGGCCCCCTGCCGTTCAGCTCACTCGTGCTCGCCGCCCGCCACCTGCCGAACGCGCTGTTCGACAACTACGACCGGTGCGGCGCCGCCAATGACCGTGCCCGGAAGCTGGTCCGCGCGGACGAGGGCCTGCGCAAGCGAATGTCCTTCCACACCGCCGACGTCGCCAACCTCACGGACGAGCTCCACAAGTACGACGTGGTCTTCCTGGCGGCGCTCGTCGGTATGGCGGCCGAGGACAAGGCCAAGGTGGTAGCGCACCTTGGCAGGCACATGGCGGACGGAGCGGCTCTCGTCGTGCGGAGCGCTCACGGGGCTCGCGGGTTCCTGTACCCGATCGTCGATCCGGAGGACATCCGGCGCGGCGGGTTCGACGTGCTTGCAGTGTACCACCCGGACGACGAGGTCATCAACTCCGTCATCATCGCGCGTAAGATCGACGCCCACGCGAAGGGACTTCAGAATGGGCACGCGCCTGCGCGCGGCGCGGTGCCGATAGTGAGCCCGCCGTGCAAGTGCTGTAAGATGGAGGCGAACGCGCTCCAGAAGAGGGAGGAGATGGCGACGACGGAGCTGTCCATCTGATGCGAAAAGGAACTTTTGAGGAGCTGCGCGTGGTAACAATAATTACGAAACGCTGTTTCGTCTCTTAATCTCTCGTGTAACTGTTCGTTCGCACTTCTGTGTCATGCGATGTGTAAGTGTTCAATAATGACGTGTTTTTCCTATGTGATGATACATCAAGTTGCCAGCACTTTTACGTGCCTGCTGTGACGGACATCGATGAGAACAGTGTGCACGTAAAGAAATACTAAATCCGTTCCAAATTATTATAGTTTGTTTGATTTTTTATCATAAGTTTGACCACTCGTATTATTTAAAAACTTATGCTAAATATCACTTCTTTTGTTGTATCTTGCTTTATTAACAAAAGTTCTTCAACAATGACTTAAATTTGACTATGTTTGCACATTTTTTTTTGAATAAGATGAGCGATCCAACTTGAGGTAAAAAAAAAGTCAAACGAATTATAATTTGGAACGGAGAGAGTACTGTTTGAGGCATGGGTTGATTTATCATCTTCTCACTCAAGTCATTTCCGTTTTATGGGAATTAGTTGGTCCATCTCTAAATCATCCCTTACAGACTACTCCTTCCATCCAAAAATTATAAGCTTATTTCTTATAAAAGGATGTCTTGCCTGTAAAGAGATTAAATTGTTGGTGAAATTGTACTAATACATCTCCAGCTTTGTCAAACGTGGTTCGTCTCTAAAAGAAAGTAATCATGTTTTAAATATCAAGTTTGACCAATTATAGATAAAAAAGTATAAATATAATATCAAATAAAACCATTAAATTAATTATGAAATGTATTTTTATAATAAATTGATTTGGAGTCATAAATATGAATATTATTTACTAGAAACTTAGTTAAACATGAAGAACTTTAACTGACATGCAATCCATAGTAGTATTCTTTTAGGGACAGAGGTAGTACCTATCCTAAGTAAGCATGACTTGCTAAGAATTTTTCAACTTATTGGAAATGTAATGACCCGTCCTCTCAAGGGCGTTATCGGTATTTCGTAAACTGGACTAGTAAACTTATATGATTGCCACGCTACTCTAGGAAAACGATGGTAGCATCTAGAATGCATGAGGATTTATACTGGTTTAGGCCGGAGCCCTACGTCCAGTCTCAGAGATGATTGAGTGCGTGTTCCTCGCTTGAATGCTCTGAAGTTCTTACAATGAGGGTGCAACAATGGTGGAAGAGATAGGATGTAACACCTCTGGTGTTTTAAACACTAAAATATGCCATGGCATCATATGCATTGCACATCATTTTTGTGTTAGTGAAAACTTTGATATGCATTCACTAAAATAAGTTTACTTTTATGATTATATGTGTTGACTTGTATGGGATGAATCAAGTTCAAAACTTTAGTATTAAATTGGAATTCCAAAATCCTAATTTCCAGCATTTAATACTCCCCTAAAAAACCTAATTTAAAATCTAAGCATAATTTGGGGTTGAGCCTAAACGAAAAAGTGTAGAGCTTGTCAATGTGTACAAAGTTGGTTTTTAGAGTTTTCAAAGTTGTTATATAAAATTTGAAGTAATTTGAAAGGGAATAAATTCTTAAAGTGTCCCTTTTTTATTTTAAACTTGCATTGTTAAATGTAGACATAATTTGAGTATGGTTATTAAAGCAAAGTTGTAGAACTTTGAATTTGGAGCAACTTTTATTTTTGAAGATTTTTGAGTTACCATACAAATTTAAAAGTAATTTGAAAAATGAAGCGAGTGGCAATTCGGTAAATGTCTTGAACAGTGCAAGCAGGCAGCTCTCGCCGCCGGCAAGCTTCCACCGACTTCCACACGCGCCCGCGAGCGACACCTCCTGCTTCGACGTGTCCGCGTTGCCATTGCGTGTCAAGCGCACCTCTCCCGCCGCTCTCCGCTCGCCTGATAAGTCTGGGAGCGCCCTCCTGTCCCTCTCTCCTTCCCTCTGTTTCCCGTCAGCGCCGCCTAGCTCCGACGAGCTCGCGCCGGAGTCGTAGAGCCCTCTCAGCCTTAGCCGAGCATGTCACCATGATCGCCATCACCTAGCACCTCCATATCACCCACTTGCGCAGTTTCTATCCCTCTGGTTTGCCCGGCGTAACCTCGTCTTCTCCAACTCCGGCGAGGATCCACCGAGATCCATTCCACCTTGGACAGGGAGTTCGGGTGGGCTTCTTGCTTCATATTTTGTTGTTTCTTGATCTTCATTCTCTCGTGATGTTCATGAGCTTAATCGTTGATCATTTGGTCAGTTGCTTTCCTCAGAACGGAGCTTCGCCGTGAGTTCACGCTGCCGCTATCGTCTTCAACACCGACGACTTAGCTCTGCCTCGCCTTAGCCGTCTTTCTCGCGCGCATTAGCTTCGGGGTGAGCTACTGATCATGCCTGTGTGATCAATTTTACCTCTACCACGGTGTAGCCACGGGACCGTGGGACGCCGACGAGTTTTGCTCTGCCGTGCCGTTGCGCGCGTCGCTGCTAGTGTTGTGGAGTGTTGTTGGTTCAATTAAGTGCTCGGTTAAGTCCGTTAGGAGGTGCTGAGTACGTCGGAGACCTTAGTATTGCCGGTGAAGTCGTAGATCGCCGTCGCCGTCTCGGCAGGACACCGCCGTGCCGCCATCGTCACCGGTGAGGTCTCTGCAGTAGCCTAGATGTTCAACCAGTACCTTTAGTCGAAGCGCAGCGCTGGGGAGGTCATGTTGGTTCAATCCTTACCGTCGGAGACCTCACCATCGGCGAGTAATCACCGGTCAGAGGGCCTCGCCGCCGTAGTCAGCGCGGGCTGACCGGTGGGGTCACCCTGTCAGTGGCTGTTTAAGTGAAAATGAATTTTTATATTTTGCAGAAATGGTTAAATAGTGTTGTGATTTGTTTATTTTGTGTAGAAATAAATAGAGCTCCAAAAAATTATGAAATTTTTTGTGTGACCTCTCTGAGATGTGAACTATTTAGGAAAAATATTAAATGTTACTTTTCAGTACATTTTGAATGTGATAAAAATTGCTCAAATTAATTAATAAATGGGATTCCATGATTTTTCTAGGCTTAAATAATTATCCAAAAATTATGAAAATTGTTTTCCACTTAGTTATCATGTGATGAGCCTTCACAAAAATTTGGAGCTCATTTGAAAAAAGTTGATTTATTTCATAATTTTGATTTAATTAATTAATTAATTAAAACAAATAGTAAACCTTAATGACTTAGGTTTTTTTGAATTTGGGATTGAGTGATGACCTTGGGTCATTAGCATAAAATGATCCTTGGCACTTTAAGTAAGTGTTTGAGTGTATGATCAAGTTGTGATTAAGAAATGTTAATTAGTATAACCCCACTAAGGTTATTAGTGTTTATCTAAGTAAACCCTAGAGAAGGTTTAGTTAGTTGTTAGTTTGTAACTATACCGTGAAGGAAAGTTGTATTCAAGTTATTAACTTTTGCAACCATCATCAAGCATCATGTTTTATATCTCGCATCATATTAAACATGGCATTGTTACTACGTGTAGTGAACGAAAGTGAGAACTTGGTAGTCAACTAAGTTATTGAGGAAGTCAACCCACCTGTTGAGGTCAGGTTTGATATCTGTGGAACATCTCCAGAACCTGACTATTCCGACAATCAAGGCAAGCCCTGGATGCATTTAAACCTACCTTGTGTTTTACAAATTTATATCACTTTTATTATTAAATATTGCATTAAGTGATTAGGAGTTGAGTGAAAACCTAATTGGTGCATTACCAACCTTGTTTTTCCATATCAACCTTGTTACCAGTTTCAATTCGAGAATGCCTAATTATGCTTAGCCATGCTTAGACCGATAAAAGTCAGGTGATTTCCTATCACCTGCGAGATATAAATGGATTTTTGGATACGATTGGTTATTTATGTTATCATGAGATATAATCATGTGGAGTAATAAATCTAGATCGAGCAGACTCGGTGTATGAGAGCCACAATACATGGATGTCTTGTGAGCGGGTTCTTTCCGCCTGTGTAGATTAAGAACCGTCCGTTGTTGAATTGCATGAGGTGAGACTTTGTAGTACTGGCCACATACTCCGGTAAGCCTTAACTCGGCTATTCTATTATGAGAATGGCTACTCGCGCACTGGGAGTGGAGAGATGACGAGGGTAGCGTGTACCCAAGTGGCGATGGGCTAGATTAGTGGAGTTCTGTGCTCTCGGGTGGCGTGGACCCGTTCTTGTTTTAGAGGATCTGATGGTAGGTTGATATATGTAGGTTGGGGACCTATATATATCGTGTGGTTGGGAATCCCCAGCTGGGTTATAATCGGTTTGAATCATCGTTGCTCCTCGGTTATGGAGACTCAACCCACTGTTCATCATCGTAGTTAACAAATGGAACTTGAGTAAGATTTGAGAAAGAGTTTGTTATGAAGTTCATGATCTCAATATGGATCATGTCAGCTTTATATATGGTCTTTATGAAGATTTAAATGTTGAAAGAAAGAATCTTGTTAGAGAGCTTTTACGCAAAAGAACTTTGATTCTTGCTAAAGCCTTACCTTGAATCCTCGAGCCTGCATTCCCGAGTCTTCTCCGTTTTTACGTCGGCTAAGTCTTGTTGAGTACTTTTGTACTTAGGGTTCTTTAACCCTTGTTGCAGGTGAGCCTCATGAGCCGGTCTGCTTTGGACCGTGCTGCATGACGGTTTTTCAAATCGAAGATGACAAGTAAATGTGTGGCCCTTGGGCAGGGCACTTTAATTGTGTGTTTTGTTTTATGTTACTAATGCTACTCCACTACTATGGTTTGTAATAATAATTGTACTTGGTTTGTAAGATTTGAAACAACAGTTTTGTAACTAAGTTATTGTAAGACTTCCGCTATTTTACTCTGATGTAAATTATTGAATAAACTATTGTAATACTGCAATGACTCTGTAATGGATCCTGCTCGGAAGAAATCATGGATGATCCGGGTTTCCTGAGGAGACCCGACAGGCTTCTTAAGTTGCCGAGAACATATGCATAGTCGTCAGAGATCATTGG